CTGGAAGTGTTCAAGGCCAGGTTGGATGGGGCTTTGAGCAACCTGGTCTAGTGGAAGGTGTCCCTCACCATGGCTGGGGAGTTGGAACTAGATGATCTTTAAGGTCCCTTCCAACCCAAACCATTCCACGATTCTATTTTTTTAAGTTTGATATCTGGGCAGTTTTGCTGACACACATTTTATTACATCATATTCATCACTAATGTGTCATTGCAACTTAGAACTGCTGGACCTCACTGCCTTCTGTTAGACATTTAAACCCAGCTATGAAACTAAAATTTATATTTTAACTATAAGGCGTGCTAAGCACTGAAAGTAACCTTCAGCTTTGAAGGGAATTGTGATGGCTCAGCACTGCCAAAGCTAAGCCCCACTACTAAGAAAATGAAGTTCAAGTTTAAACCTCAAACAAATTTCAGCATTTAAAAAAATTTAAACATTGTCTTCTCACCTCCTTAAACTACTGTGAGTGCAGAAAAACACATCCAAAAATCAGGAACATTGATAAAAGTGCTCAAAGTGAAAGCATACAGTACAATCACCCCTCATCAGCACTCAGGTGAATAACACCATTGCTGCGAAGTTATAAGACTTCCCTGTGGGATTTCAAAATACTTAACAAATTAGTAAGCGTGGCAGCTTCTCTCAAATAAATGCAAGAATTGTAGTCACTTATAAAGTAGGGATAAAATGTTATAAAATAGGGATCAAATAGAGGCTGAAAAGATCATGCTATGGTCTTGTATTAAGTGACTTGCGGACGAGGAACTCGAACCTGGGGATTCTGCATACACACACATATATGTGTATACACGCATTTACTGTGTGCATTTTCTCCTCTGTGCTCCAGAAGCTGGAGCAGGAGTAATGCCCTTTTAAAACCCATCCATATTCTTGTCCTTCCTGTGCTTCCAAGGTAGAAACACTTAAGGAAAATCCAGTTAACTGATGACATGAGTTTTACCTTGAGCTTTCCAAAGATGTATGAGATATCATCTGGAAAGCAAACACTTGCTAACAGAAATGCATTTAGCCATTTCCTTTGAAATTTAGGCAGTACTCTACATTTGAAATGGAGGCCTGGGTTTGACTTTTACAGCGCTTTTTCATGCCACACAGCAGACATGGGTAGAGAGCTGCTGAGACATTGCCTCCTGCCTGCAGCAGTCAGAACAAGAGTTGAACATCTCTGGCTTTATAAATAGCCAGGAACATCGATTACAGATTTCATTTAGACTAATAGAGAAGAATTGATTGAGAACTGGGAGGGGAAGGTAATCTGGATGGCAGTGATCATGAAATTAGTTTTCAATTCTAAGATGTGACAACAGTAGAGAAAGGACAACAGACTTCTGGAAAAAGAAAAAAAAAAAACAAAACCAGAAAAACCCTCAAAAAACCACCTGCAAAAAACCAAAACCAAAGCAATTCGCACTCAAGAGGAAGGGCACAAAGCACAGGCCATTATGCCTGTTCACAAAGTTCTCTAATGAGTGGAAAATTAGAAAAGAATCACAGTAAAAAGTAGAAACACAATTATGTGACTAAGGGCAACTGTACAGGAACAACAAAAGCATGCATGGGTGAAATCAGAAGGGCCAAGGAGCTGAAGAAACTTCAGTTAGCCAAGGGACATAGAATGAAACAGAAAAAAAATGTATAAATACCTTAATAACACAACAACAACAAAGAACAGCAGAGATCAACCACCACACAAGGAAGGAAAACAACTGCAACAGTTTGGCTGAAGTGTTTGTGCTTCTTTTGCATTAGCCTTCACCAAAAGTACCACTGACTGAATACTTACCAGGTATATAACATCATCAATTGCAGCAAAAGAGCTAGGAAGGCAACCCCAGCAAGCTAAAGTGTACCTAGATGGCTTAGGGCACGGCTCCTGGAAATAAGTTGAGGGCAGGCAGAGTCTACCTAACTTCAAACCCTAAAATCATTCTGGAACATATCATCAAACAGTTAATTTGTAAACACACAAATAATAATAAGATGTTAAAAACAAAAAAATAATAAAAACAAAACAAACCCCCCCACCCATAGTTTTGCCAGAATAGCACATCAAGCTAATTTAATCATCTTCTGACAGACACCTGGCTGAGCAGGTAAAGGCTGAGCAGCACCTCCACTTCAGCAGGGCTCCAGTCACTGTCCCACATTATGTTCCATCAAGCAAGCTCCTGAGACACATCCTAGACATAATTACTCTAAAGTGGCTTCACAAGGGATTAAATAAAGTCATCCTCAAGAGAAGTTATCGTTGTCATAGTTCACTGCCATTCCGAGAGGGCATTTCAGGTGACTTTCTGCAGGGAATTGTCTTGGCCTCGGTTCTACCAAGTACTTCCTTCAGTAACAGATTATCGTAAAATTTGCCAGTGACACACACCTGGAAGGGGCTGTAAGCACTCTGGAGACAAGGTCAAAATCAAAAGCAATCTTGAAGAACTTATTTTAGAACATTTCTATAATAAGACGAAATGCTATTTTTAGGAAGGACAAATCAAATACATGTAGGGGAGGAATAATATTTGGGGACCACAGTGAGCTGCAAAACGTGACGGTAGTACACAGCACACAAATCACTTTCTGAGACCTATTATTAAGAACGCCGGAAGCAAGGGATGGGAGCACAGGCTTTCCTATGCAGGGCTGGACCCAGAATCGGGCCCACACAGCAGGAAAAATTTAGACAGTGTCTAAAAGAACACAAAGTGCTCAGAAATTTGGAAAACATGATCTTTACTGAAAAGCCAAGGGAGCTGGGCTTATTTAGTCTGAAAGAGATGACTATGGGACAACTCTGTAACAGTCTTCCAATGCATAAATTGGAAAAGAGACAGTAAATGCTCTTTCCATATTCACTGGGAAAAGTTGGAGAAAAAAAACCTTTAATTGTCTACATCGATGATCTGAGGCACAACTAGGAAAACTTTCTCATTAGCAGAAAAGGAAAATGCTGGAAGAAGCTGTCAATGGATGTTGTGGAGCCTCCTCTATAGGAGGTTTTCCAGAAGGTTTCAAGGAGGCCATAGCTATATTACTATGCTGTCAGGTACAGTCAAGACAACACCTCAGAGTGAGCAGTCAGGCTGTATAGAGGTACCTTGTCACTCCAGCCCTCCTATGATTTTTTTTGAAGAAGTTGTGACCAGAAGACTGAAGGGCCATCTGGGGCACTCCTTCAGCAAGGGGTGGTGACTCTCAGGGCCAAATCTTGAACTGAGCAGGTACATAAGATTTGGCTATCTAACCTCCAATCCTAGATTATAAGCACACTATTTTGAGGTTTTATTCAAACTTTGTGAAGTTATTCCAATGACAAACAGGTCCTGAAGTAGAGAACACTTGGCTTATGAGAATACCATAAGGAATTCACTTATTTCTTTCTGGTTGCTAACTAAGGAGACCCCACAAAAAAGAAGCACTGCTGAAAACTTCCTCAGGATGATCATCTTTCTAGAGCAGACACAGCGCGATGGTTTTAAAATGCTTCTCCCTCTTCCCTCCCCAAATGCCCACAGGTATCTTGAATGTTTTCAAAGAGGATAGCATAATGTTTAAGATACAGCAGTACTATATATAGACCAGAACAGACCATGCTTCAAATGGGAATAGGCTGCAACAAACATCTTCCAGCTGGAAACAAGTGGAACAAACAATGTGGTCATAGCCCACCATCAAAGCAACAGGTGGATTCAGGATTTCACACTGACAATATGAAATTCTGGCTGGTCAGTCATCACCTACATGTTCCTGGTCTGTACTTGCCTCTGAGGACCCATCAGACGATTGAAACCAAAAGAAACAAGAAATTTTGGTAGGCATTTTCTTACCTTTCTACTGTTGATATGTCTCCCCCCAAACCAAACATACAGAGAGTCAGCCTAAAAATTTGGCCACACTGCCAGGTGCGCAGGTTCACCAAATGGGGGTCTATGCCACAGCTCCATCCCGAGGCAGTGCTTACACTGAGCGCATAAGAAAGAAGTCAATTTAATTCAAATAGTAACAAAGTGATTGACATTAGCCTTACATGACTCGAAGTCTTGAGCTAAAGGTGAAACTAGGGATACAAATAATCTTATCTTTGCTTTTCAGCTATCTTCTTAGTTTTGCTGACATATATTTGTCTTCAGACCACTCTTTTCTCCACTTTACTGGACACTTGCCTTACAGTAGAAGACAGTACAAAAGATTTTAAATTTTGTTGTCTTTTAAAAAGCAAACAGGACCAGCACGTAGTCTTGCAGAATTTGTTTGTTGTATTTGAACCGGTCTACATACACACCTCTGCATAGCACCTAGGATCCATCCTCCAGACACATACAGACACACACACACACTAAAGCCAACAAACAACTTGCTAGATAACAACCACAGTAATAACAGCAACATTAGGAATACCAACAACAGGTTTAGTCCCAAACAAATTCAAGTTATGCAACTGATCTCGAATTCATTCATAAAAATACTTCTGTGTTGATATGAGTTTTGCAGAACTAAATTACCATATTAGGCCGGGAGAGGGCCCCATTGAACTACATTTCCTTTGCCCACAATCCCTTTGAAGCAGGGGATTTGGGAAGATAGCAAGGGAGGAAGAAAGAGAGAGAGGGAACACGTGACAAGTGCAAGTGCACACCAGAAAAGGAAAGAAAGAATGAGAGGAAAAAAGAAAATCTCGGGTAATTTCTAGTGTTCTACCTTTATTTTCTCTAAGACTGAACAAAACAAAAACACACACATAAATAAACCATGTAAATGCACGTGAACAAGGAGCAAAAACATACTGGAAGGAGGAGGAACGTGGCTGGCACCCTGGGCAAACAACTTTCCTTTTAGAAAATACTGAAAATGTCAACAAAGACTCAGGACAAGGGCAGGAAATTTAGCAATGTCACATAACTGGTAAATCTAAGGTTTTGCACAAAGCTAAGTCTCTGTCAGGCAAAACGCATAATCCACCTTTAATCAGTTACAGCCACATTTTCATTAAAATTGGTAAGAAAGTACTGATGTTACTGTGGACTGCAGAAGAAAATTTAAATGCCTAACCTTTTTAAAAAAAAGATCATTATCTCAGCTTACAGCCCCCTTATTTTCTGAAGCTTGAGGACCACACTCTGTGAGGTGTCTGTGTGGCGTGACTATTGGTTGTACTGCATTGCTTTAGAATTTCTCTCCATTTTGCATAGCACAATTGAAAACTTCTAATACTCTACAAAGCAAAACCCACTTGGATCGTGGACAAAATTCTTCTACACCTGTCTTTTCCCTTCTCAGAACTACCTTCACAAGTGATGGCAGTTGACTTTCACAAGAATTTTAACCATTCATACTTTGATGATACAATTCTAAAGCATTTCACACAAGTGTTCGAGTGAGTTAAAAATAATTAAGTATGAAGTGCATTCTTACGTTTTGGGAAACTTGTTCAACATGAAGAGCTCATGGCAGAGCACGTCACAGCAAGGACCATAGGATGTTGGTAGTCACAAAAAAGAAAGCCGGAAGGATGCAAAAGAAGGCAGGCATTCAAGCTGATGACTAGATAAGCAAAAATTGACACAGGAATAAAGAATGGAAGTCTTACAGAGGTACAGAGAAATATACTGTAGATAGCCTTCAGGATCTCAAATTTGATTTAGAAGGTAATACAAATCCAGTGGAGGCATTTCAGGAGAAGCTAAACATCACTGAAGCACAGGGCACGGAAGATTTCCTCGGCAAGAGCACCACTGTTTTACTTTTCACCATTTTTAATTTCCAAGCCTATGACTGAGAGGTGCCATTTAAGGCCTCGACGGCCCTACAAGATGACAATTCCAGCTCCGCTGAAGCCCAAGCCAGCCTACTTAGAAGAAAAACCTTTAGCTGCCAGCAAATAAAGACTGCCTTTAATTGACCTGTTGAGAATTAACCATTGCAAAAAAAAAAAAAAAAAAAAAAAAAAAAAAAAAAAAAAAAAAAAAAAAAAAAAAAAAAAAAAAAAAAAAAAAAAAAAAAAAAAAAAAAAAAAAAAAAAAAAAAAAAAAAAAAAAAAAAAAAAAAAAAAAAAAAAAAAAAAAAAAAAAAAAAAAAAAAAAAAAAAAAAAAAAAAAAAAAAAAAAAAAAAAAAAAAAAAAAAAAAAAAAAAAAAAAAAAAGTGCAGCAAGCTTTCTGTACTGCATTGTCCTAGCGCAGGCACCCTGCTAACCCAGCCCCAGACTGAGGAGGACACTGACCGGGGATTTTGAAAGTCTTTTATAAAAACTCTTTGACAGTTGCTATTTTAGGAGCCCTTTGATCCAACCATCAAAAATAGACAGAGACGCATCCTGCCCAAATGCCAGTCACAAGCACCAAACGATTGGTCTGCTAAACTTCCACACCCAAATCCAAGTCAGGCTGAGACAAACCTCTTGCGGATTTTTTTGCCAGTTTTCAACAAGGTAACACATTTCTCCCCACCTGGTATGCCCACTGTGAAGGAGGCAATATCCTGGAGCACCTTCTTTATGCAAATGTTGAGCAAAACATTTTTCCCAGACTCCAAGGTTTGTGTTGCAATACAGGACACTGAGCATAATGTCAGCTTCTCTACACCACCAGTGAGCCTCTAAGATAACCCGAGCAGACCAGCCGTACACAAAAGGAGTTCATTCTTCCACGTGCTGCCAGCCTTGGCACTGTCAGCAGAGAGGCCAACAAGAGTGCCAGTCAGAAAGGTTTAATAAACAGCAATGTGAACTTTATGCTTTCATACGTATACACTGGATAATATAAAGACAGTGTTGTAAAGCATGCTTTATCATACTGACTTCCTATGTAAGTATCACTTTTCTTTTTTCCTTCTTTCTCTCTTTCTCTTTCACTGAAAATTAACTCTCTGCTGTCTCCAGAGCATGCTTTTCAGGATTGCCATGTTCCTTCTGTGCCAGGCAGCGGAAAACAGAGCTAGCACCTTAAAAGTCTGCGTTTCCCATGTGTCCACAGTAGAGTACAATTCATTACCTGTTTCCTTAAGTCCTGAGCCGATCTATGAAGAGTGTGGTGGTTGTTAGCAGTGAGCCCTTTCGTAGAGGAGCCAGTGTTTGTAGTAGGATGGTGATTAGCAGCAGCCTGGTCTTTTCGGCTCTCAGCCTTATGTTCACTGTTCCTCTCCTTCCCTGGTGTGGCCTCTTTGCTTTTGTGTTTCTGAGCAGGTTCTTTCTCCTTCGATGATTTGCTGGACCCATTGAAAACTGAGAAGAGAGAAAATCAGACTATTAAGGAAAAAAAGAAAAAAAAGTACATACAAGACCAAACTCTTCATTCAAAACAACCCAACTTTCTCTGCTGTCACTGTTGGATATTTAGTGAGAGTATTTTTTTATCTAAAGTAAAATTATTACAGAAATAGAAGCACTATTTTGCATGTTTCTTTATATGAACAGGTTTACTAAAGTATTTCCTTTGCTTGGTAACCCACATTATCTTAATATCTATCCAAATTAAAACATACAAGGTATATTACTGTTTTGATGGACCTAAATTTAGACTTATCAGTTTGATTTTTATTTATGACAGTTTTAATTAACTTTTTGCTGTTGCAGCGAAGGAATTCTAAACATAACCTAAGCAGAAAAAGGATTTATTTTTACATTAACGTAAAAGAAAGGAAACGTTCCATGAAAAAGCATGTTTTGTTTTCATCAATATCCAAACTGCTAAACCAAACTAACAGCAGTTTGCCTATAGCAGACAAGTTGCAAATAGAAAAAGGTACTTCTGCAAAGAAAGGAAAATACTAAAACCGTTTTAGAACATGTCGTATAAAGTAATGCTGGGACCTATGCTGAGCGCCCTAGCCTTCTGCTGAAGTGAAGGGATAAGAAAGCACAGAACAGAAACCATATTTTTTGTACAACAAATATTATGCAAACATATACAAGTTTATCTCAGCAAGTTTTGTTCCTCTGCTGAATTTATTTAAGAATAGTCACTGCTCTTTTGTTGTCAGGGAACATGAAAAGCTGAGGTTTTCATGTGAAAGTCACATTTCTCTTTTTGGTTGTTTGTTTGTTCATCAAAAATGTGGTGAATTAATGTCAGTGCTGCTCCCTCTTCACTAGAAGCACTTGACAGAGGTCTGTGAGGCTTGTGATCCAACACCCACAAGGGCAAGTGCCCTCCTGCCTTCTCTACTCATCTACTCTTGTTTTTTACCCCTGCCTTTTTGCCATGGTTTAGGAAAGGACATAAATAAGAAAATTCATGAATACTTAATAGCACAAGTATCTAAAATAATATTTATTACACACAACACACACCATCTGTTTGGGAATTTTAACTAAATGAATGAAGTTATTGTTTTCTTGTGAAATGAAAGCCTTCTTTTGTCACTAAACATGAAATACCTACGATACATACCTTTTTATCTAAATTGTGAAGCTTAACTGTCTTTACAGATGTCCTGTAGTACTACGGTACTAGTAGCAGTTATAGTAATAATAATAATAAAGAACCAACAATCCTGCTGGACTGAAGAGGGGCATCTAAGCTGCTTTTGAGTAGACACCTACCTCCAAACCTCCCAAACAGCTATCTACCTTCCCACCACACCTCCAAAAGCTGAAACTCCAGCAAGCTATTGATGAATCTGTTATTCAGGTCACTTATCATATTCAGTCGGTTATCAGTGTTGAATTAGATTATGTAAAAAATAAAACATTGCAATTGCTCTTCCTCCTCTCTTCCTTCCCTCTTGCACAAAACAAGTAAGAGTGAGAGAAAAACCGTCGGCAGCGAAGTCACCGCAAATTCCCCTGTGGCTCCGTCACTCCTGAGCTCAGGTGCAACTGGCGCTGCCCCAGCCAGCCAAGGATTTCTCAGTGATTTCAGTGAAAGTCGCGTAACCTCCATGTCTCATTTCCAGTGATGGAACTGATAATAATTGCCAACCCCTCTCAGGGAGTTCACGACAATACATTTATCCTCCTTTGTAAGGAGTTCTCACATCAGATGGAAGGCGCTACAGACGCATGAAGCACGACTATTTATTTTTAATAAGACATGGCACAAACAACCGATGGCAGCTTCGTTAATATGTATTTCATCACTGCGGGTGATATTTTCCTTCGGAGGGAACAAATTGTATATACTGATCTGCTCACACAGAAACGTTAAGTCAGAGAGATTAGTTTTCTGTATTCAGTTGCCACTTTATAAACCGAAAATTACTAAAACAGAAAACACAGCCAAAAAGCCAAATTGTGCACTTTTATGGTTCACCAAAAAAAACCCGCAGTGAACATGAGACAAGGTATATTTTATATGCAACAGCTCATTAATTTTAAGTGTCGTGGGAACCCTGCCAGTTTTACACTCTGAGTAATTATCTTTTGTCTTAATTTGTAAGATTCTTGAAAGGGGGAAGAGAGAAATGCGAGAGAAAAAATGTTGAGTCTCACAGGAAAAGCTTAAAAAGCTTAAAGCCTGAGAACACAATAAAAAGGGAGAGGCGTAGATGCAAAACAGTCCTAGTCAAGCTGTCTCTAGTTAAACAGTAGACGGTATCAATTCCTATAAAATCAGTGTTTGTTTCTTCCAACACCTAGAACATTGTTATATCCAGCTAGATAGGTATACAAGCCTTTCTGCAATAGTAAGTTCTGCAAAATTCACAAACATATTATGTGAACAAGTATCAAAATGTTAACTTGATTAATTACAAAACACTATCACAAGCCAAGCATTTAAGGGGAAAAAGCAAATCCCCTGGACTATGATTTTGATCCCATCTGAGTAAAAATGTAGAATTTATTTAGACTTAGAGAGTACAATACAGGATTAAACTCTGGCCCTAATAGGTAGTAAGACAGTTCAGTGAAAAGATGAAATCACCAGGAAAGACGAAAAAAAAAACCCAAGAAATTTCATTGTTGAAGAATAACTGATAATAAGACAGAAACACCCACTTCTCAAAGGAAAGAAAACCAATAACCCCCCCAAAACCCCCAAAACTCTGCATTAAATATTACTGAGCCCAAATCTGATTTAACAATAAAATGATTACTTTTTCTTTTGTGTCTTCTTATGTAGCAAATTGCATTCTCCTTCATGTCTGCCAGCTCTTCAATATTTCTGAGGCATTCAGAAAAGCAGAAAAGGTGTACCTTATGCTTTACTAAGCCCACCTATAGGTATGTCCCAGCTACAATCTCCCATCCTAGAGATAACTCTGATACACGCAGTATCCGATGTTCAGCTCCCAGTTATTTTTTTTTTCACTCATGAAAGAGCAGTCAATAAAGGTTTCATCCTTGAAGCAATAATTTCATTAAAAAACAAAGACAGAAAAAAAAGCCCAATCCACACAAGTGGTGAAACTCACATTATTAAAGCAGAAATCTTTTGTAGTCTTGAATTATGATTATTTTATGCTACCTTAACCAGCTCTGTATTTCCAGAACAGCTTTTAGCTAAAGTTAAGAGCACTACTAACAAATAATTAAAAGTGCAAGTAAATTATTAGTGTTCAGACACTTCAAATAGAATAAATGGATATCCTTTTATCCATATCTATCTGAATGCTCATTCTCAAAATGCCGCGTCCTCCAAAGCAATTATTATTATTATTAAGCTGAAACAGTAAGAGTCCCAGAGTGAAGTACTTGTGAATCTTTTGGTTAGCAGTGATGATCAAATGCAAAGAAACTGAACCACTACATTCAAAACTTGCAAGCACTGGGGGTTTTTTAACCACTGATATAATTTATGGCAGCAGAGCAAAACCTTATGGCAGGCGTGATCCCCACAGATGCATCACAGCGCTCTCTGTATCAGGGGAACTGGACCCTGGGCACCAATATCCACCTAGGATCCCATACAGGGACTTTGGGGTATCTCATTTGAAACTGTGATAAAGAATCCCTACACAAACCAATGCAAACTATGCATGTACTAGGTGCAGCTATAATAATGGCTAAAAAAATTTTTGATCAAGTAAAGCCACAGATGTGCTCAATTACTACAGATTAACTAAGCATTTACTACAGGAATTGACACTGTAGTGAGCTATAAACATTTATTGTGTTTTCAGCAATTTTCTGAAGTATTCCTACAAATTAATTTGCGCACAAATATTTTATAGGATACATGGAGCCAGCTATTCAGAAACCAATTTACAATACGTACAATAATCAGGCTTTCAATGTATAAGCAGCAGAATTACTGGACTGGGTTTAGCCAACTGCTGACTCCATGGGCAAAGCTTTCTCTCCCAAGCCCTCCTGGAGATTATTCCTGCACCAGATATGCTTTATAATTGAGATAACGGGGGAGTCCGTTGCAGGGACAGCAGAGTACTGATGTATGAACCCTTTTGCTTTATGCCAGTGTCTGGAAGATAAAGGCAGGGACCATACATGTACACATATGCCACATGTTGCAGAGCTCATGCCGCGTAAAGCAAGCGATTGCGCATTCATAAAACTATCCAAAACAAAGAGGGAAGGTAAGAGTGAAAGGGAGAAGTTTTGTTTTTAGAAGAAAAGGAAGCCTTGCCAATGTTGTGAACCCGAGCCAGCTATTCCAATGCAAACCTCATGTTGTTACATGTTTGGGAAGAGATGTAATATTAATCAACTTTCTGGCATTAAGTATCCGTTACTGTACAAAAACATTCTTTCTCTGGCTTTAATTCAGTTTTAAGTCACTGTGAAAACATTTATGTGGCTCTCAAACTGCCTTAAAGGACACAGGCAGTAATTCTTTTCCCTTCCCAGAGGAACTAAAACAATGATCTACTTCCATAAAACAGAGTATTTTAATACTGCCGATTGTTTTCCTGAAGTGTTGGGTATGTTCAGACTTCTATAAACTATTTGCAGAGATAGAAGCTGTCTTCTGGAACCCCCCAACACGATCTACCTACTCAGGGTCAGCGGCAAAGGCGTATTTCAGGAGAAAAGAACACCACAACATCGTATGAAAACATGCGGTACTGCTGTTTCCGCATTTCTCCAGCCCTAACCCAATGCTATGCAATTTGTCAGCGGACAACTCCGCAACAAAATTTCCATAGCTGCATGCTAACAGAAGTCAAAACAGGAGAACCATAGCAGATAGCACTGAATTTCTTTTTGACACTATCAATAACACAGCTCAAAACCCTATGCGCACAGGAATATATTGGGCCATTGAGAGGAGCGTTATTGGTATGAGACACCATGCCACTGTTTGCAAAAATTCAATACCAAGT